TGTTCTTGTCTTGCAATTAATATTATGAAGATCACCTCCACTAGGCTCTTGAGGAAGTTGTATTTAAAGGAATGCTCACTATAAAAATTGTTGCTTTAATCTTAAAAAAAGCTTTAATCTCAAAACTTGATATGGAACAAATATCTGATTTTAGTAACATGCATTAGACCACAGACATGTCAGGAGAGTTCCTTCTAGGTCCCGGGTACGAAGAAGGTATCATAGCTTGATTGGCTCTATGTGTAAAAGTTAGTATGTCAACTATGTTATCAGGCAACAACACAAAAATGACTCCTGATTAATTAACTTCATATGAACTGGAAAAATTATATATATACATCTAAAAAGACTACTGCTGAAGAGGACTACATAAGGCTGCCCTGCTGGCAAGCCATGGTTCTTGTTCTCTATCCCTCAGAATAGACTCGTACTAAAGGTGGTCTTTGATAGTCTTATGAATCTGAAAGTTCAGTTGAACCTAAGAAAGCCCCTTTATCAGTGTTTTAGCTTTCTATTGATACGTAACTAATTGCCACAAGCTTAGCAGTTTAAAGCAACATTTATTTATTATCTCATACTTTTAGAAGTCAGAAGTCTAGATGTGATATGACTAGATTCTCTGCTCAGCATCTCATGAGGATAAAATCAAGATGGTGGCATGGGATATAGTCTCATTTAAGCCTTAGATTCAGCTTCCAAGCTCCCTGGTTGTTGACAGAATTCAGTTCCTTGTGGTTGCAGAATTGAAGCCTCCATTGTATTTGCCAGTTATCAACTTGGGGACTATCTCTACTCCTAGAAGTAGCCTGTCCAGCAGGAGAATTTATCTTTATATTTAGATATCTTTGACTTCAGGAAGGACCCCATCTTTTTCAAGGGCTCACCTGATTACATCAGCCCCACATGAATAATCTCTATTTGATTAACTCAAAGTCAACTGATTAGTAACCTCATCATGAGAATGATGCCCCATCAAATTCACAAGTTCTGCTGATACTCAAGAGGAGGGTGTTATACATTATGGTATGTAGACCATGAGGCAGGATTCCTAGGAGCAATCTTAGAACTCTGCCTATAAGAATGGGCATTGCAATGTCTTTTCCCAGACTTCCCTCAGTCCTGATCCTGTATGCTTATCAGTCCAATACTGAGAAGAGACAAGGAAGAATTCATGGAAAAGCTTAAGCTTGTCAGAGACTGTCTCTATGCAGTCACACACTTCTTCTTTGTTGATATTACAGCTAGAGGGATCTTTTAAAAATGAAGATTCAAATAATCCTTCTGCTTTCCCTAAGGATACTCTAAAGAGAATTCTAAAAAACAAATAAGGTCAGGCTCGGGGGCTCAGCCTGTAATCCCAGCACTTTGGGAGACTGAGGCAAGTGGATTGCCTGAGACTGTGGGTTCGAGATCAGCCCGGATAATTTGGCGAGACCTCGGCTCTACAATAAATAAAAAATTAGCCAGGTGTGGTAGTGCACACCTGTAGTTCTGGCTTTTTGGAAGGCTGGGGTGGAAAGATCGCTGGAGCCCAGCAGGTTGATGCTGGGGTGGCCGTGAGCATGCCACTGCCTTCTAGGCTGGGTGATGCAGTGAGACTCCAACTAAAAAACAAAAACAAAAAACAAAACCAAATAGAATGGTGGAGTCTTGCTCCTCCATCAGATGCCAGTGTTTCCCAGCAACTAGTTTTTTGTCTAGTTAATATACAAGCTTTATGGGCAGGTATGTGGTCACTGAGGGATATTATGGTCCCTATTTGGAGAAGAGCTCTGAAGTGTCTTAAAACTAAGTTCTATCAGTATCTTTATGGTATGACTCTGTCCTTACCCAGAACTAGATGGATGACCATATTTCCAGCTGACTTAATTGGTTGACTATATCAGTCTTTCAAAGACTTTTGTAATTTTCCATTTGCTGTAATACAGAAACAACTCATATTGATCAGGATATCATTTCAGTTGGGTAACTGTACAAAAATAAAGAGAGGTTAAACTATACTTTGCCATGTTGTCTACTAAGCTGACCAGACAGATCTATAGCATGTATCTGTGTGTATGTGTATATGTATACATATCTATACACACATATGTGTGTGTATACATACATACATTGGCTATTAAGGCAATCAAAATTGTGTGCACGCACACACACACATACACACATTATATACAATATTTAAATTTTCAACATTTTTTTTTTTTGAGTTGGAGTCTCACTCAGTCCAGTGTGTGCGGTAGCACACTCATGGCTACTGCAGCCTCAACCTGCTGGGCTCAGGAATCCTTCTGCCTCAGCCTTTCAAGTATGCTGGAACTACAGGTGCATGCCACTACACCAGGCTAATATTTTGATTTATTGTAGAGATGAGGTCTTGTCAGGTTGCCCAGGCTGGTCTTGAAAGCTTGGGCTCAGGCAATCCTTTCGCCTTGGCCTCCCAAAGTGCTGGGATTACAGGCATGAGCCACCATACCCGGCAAGTTTTGAATGTTTATCCATCTTACCACAGCTATTTTGACTGCCTTAATAGCCAATGTACATATGTCTAAGCTGACTGTCTCTGTAGCAATAAGAAGGAATTATAAAGATGGTAAAAAATGCTAAATCAAGCATGGCACAGACACGAAGACAGGCTACATATAAGAACAATTTGAAAATAGAGCACTTATAAAACTTTTTTTGTACTTTAGCAACCACAGTATATTTCTGTGCTAAAAATATATTCCCTCAAATTAACAGTTTTTCAAACTTGATCCTTTGAGCCCTAGATGGCTCAAGGGCTTCCTCTCAGTAGTGACAGTAGTTAAAAAGCATTTTAAGGAAGCTATGTAAAGTTAATTTTGTACAGGAGGGAAGATGGAGAGGAGAAACTCCAGTGCCAAAAAATTCTGAAAAATCATAGTCATGGGGAAACTCTGAAGTCCTTTTTTTCTCTAGTAAAACATTTAGATTTATAACTGACCCTTACAAAGTTAATAGTTAATGATCATTGCTAAATAAAACTTATAGCCTACTTTGGAGACCAAAAGGATACTTTCCCCAAAATCCCCAACAAAAGTCAAAAATACAGGCAACCACATTTTCAGACAATTCAACAAAACTCTATATCGACACTATATTGAGGTTTCAATATGAAGTCCATGTCATTTTTTTCTTTATTTTAAAGATGTGGGGTACAATTCAGGGTTAGGCATACAAATGCTTATTATGCAGGTACCCTTGTTCATGAGGTATGCCCCTCCCTCCCCTGGCAGTTTCCCTCAACTGCCAATCCCACCCCCCATGTCATTTTTAAAATGTTTAAAATTCTGTAAAGTGTAAGGTCAAAAAGCACAGGAGTCTACACAAATGTGTTACTCAGACACACTTCAGAGCCTATCTTGGCATTGCAGTGGTAACTGGTCTATGCACACGTGTGTTACCATGAACATTTCATAGGTGCTTAAATACTGTAGATGGCCATTCTGTGACTCTATATGTATTATGTGAAACATATACAAACAGAACTCATACATGCATTTAACGATTTTAACTTACAAAGACAGAAAGTATAGTAGTCAAGTATTTTTAAATAAAATTTTAAAAAAATTCTCAGACCACATCCACAGTAAAGTATCTTTTAAATAAAATTTTTAAAAAAATTCTCAGACCACATCCATAGTTGTAGCCAGTATACACAGATAACATTGAGAAAAAGCGCCCCCCCCCCAGGATTCCCCCTAACATTTTCACACACCTAAAGACAATACCAGAGAAGGGGAGGGTGAGAGTGTCAATTTCACCACCCAAAGATACAAGTGTTCAAAATAGATATGAAGTTATAAAAATGCAAAATTTCTATTATTTTTGCAAATCTATATTTGGAAAATGATGGTCATACCTGCTCAAAAGCTTGATAAACTAACAAATAGAAAACTTAATGTAAATAATGTGCTGAGTAACATTTTGAGGATCAGTGATAAGTTTAAAGATTTAAAATACTGATCAAGGTGCATCTTAAAACCCAAGACTATATATATGCAAATATATGTGTACATATATAATGGGATAGATTCAAAAGCCATTTTGGAAAATACGTGTTGGCTCATTTTGAAATTAGATAATTGTATAAGACTATATCAAATATTGTCTTATTTATAGGCTCCAGAGCAAGACTTGTCTAATAAATCTTTCTGGGATGACAGGACTGTTCTCCATCTGCACTGCCCACTAGGAAGGGGTACCACTAGCCAGCCATAGGTATTGAGTAGTTGAAACGTAGCCAGTGAGATTGGTCACTCAATATTTAACTGCATTTAAATTAATTTAAGCAGGACCTGTGGGACAGGGACCACAGAACTGGAGATGCCTCCCTGAAGAATAAATATCTTCTTTGCCTCACCAATGCCCCCCATCTTTCCTTTACAAACCTGCTCAGAGGCCATTTCAGGGCCCACAGGTAGCGGTATTTGCTCCCTGCAGTATGCTTCCACAACACTTTCTGCATGTCGTTATTTTAGAACTTAACTATTAAACAGAAACTATACAAGTGTCATCCCCTGGCAAACTATAATCCGCATAAACAAAGGAGAGGGTTTTAGTCATCTCTGTTACCTCAGCAGCACTCAGCAGAGTGTCTGATCCATGGTAGGTCCTCCTTCCAGTTTTGTGAAATGAATGAACAGAAAGAATCTGTAAGCAGTTGACTAAACAGGGGAGTTCTAAATGAAAACTTAATGATTGTGGAAAACTATCCTTCTGCCTGCCATTTATTTTCGTATTGACACTCATAAAAGCCATTTTGGCCTTGTCAAAATCCTAGTTAAGTAGTATAAACAGTATTTCTGCTAAAATAATTTCAAGGGCATCTGATCAAATCAGCCACATGGCGCCCTTGCGATTTACAGCTGCAATTCATCTGCTCACTCACCCTCAAACAAAGACGGCCGATTAAAAAGTGTTAGAAGCAATGGCTTCATCGGACTGCGGACCTGAAAAGGACACAAAAGTAGTGCACTTACCATCACCAACGTCAAAGTCCTTGAAAGCCAGTTCTGACCCTGAATCATCAAGAAGGATTTCACCGTTCAGCGTGAACATCACGGTGTGTTCATTCATGTCAACCATACACCCCACCACGTCGCCTGCTTGCCAAGAGCGCCCATAGTGTTCATTACCCTGGTGCCACCGCTGGGCCTAGGGGACAGAAGAGTCTCTTGTCACAGACTAAGCCAGGAAAATAGCACCCACCCACCACTCACTGGTGTAAGTGAACAGCAGCCCCTTTTAGGAATGCGGCAGCAGGATAAACTCCAGCTGGCATGTCAGTCTGCTGCAATGTCCTAGGCAATGTGAGGAAGACTGGGATTCTAAATCCCTAGGTAATATTAACATGGCATGTTATTGAATCTTGAAAAGATCCCAAATGCTATTTAATGATTTTGAGAGTCTATTATTTTAAAAACATAACCCCGCATACTTTCTATTTTAAAAAAATTTTTAAAACTACATGCCTTTGGATTTTTTTTTTTTTACAGTGAATGTTTCCCAGAATATGGGTTGTTTTTCTCTACTCCCACAAATACAAAGAATTATGAGCTGGAGAATCAAGCTGGGTATTTATCATTGAAAATGACATTCTAATTTTCATCTATTTCAAAATAAAATTCAATTTTTTGGAACCAATGGCACAGACTCTTAACAAAATGGAAATCTAGAAACACTTCAGTTACAAACTAAAACTAAAAAAGCTTCCAATGAAACCTAAAAATGTCCTTAAGATATCTGCTAAATAATAAGCCAAAAGTGAGTATGGAGGCCAATGTTTTATAAATCCAAAGTGAAGTCTCATATTATAAATACACTTAAGACATAGTTTTGATAATGAGCGTGACTTTTGGGTTGATGGGCATATCCCACTAATTTATAGGCACAAATTAGCTATAATAATTATTTTGTCAGATAAATCCCTTAACTTTTCACTTAAGCATCATCTTCATTGCGAACTGATATGTAACAGGATATAGTCACTAATGCAAAACAATGACAGAATTATTTTTTAATGTAACACAATGTACTTTAAAAACATTTAATAAAGTTAGGGATCAAAAGGCATAAAAGTCACAACACACTTACCTAGCTGTGGTGTTCTCCTTCCTACCCAGCCATCATGTGCCTGTTCCCAAACTGAGATTCCTTTCTCCCCTGAGGTATGACTGGGATAAAGAGTATTCTGACTTCTTAGGGATAGTTCCTACTCTGATTCATTACACCTGATCTTCAGGAAGAATAAAGCTAAAGCTGCCTTTTACCTACTATTTTATTTTTTGAAGTTTAAATAGAGCTTGCTAATTCTGACCTGCAAAAAAGTGTTAAAATTTTTCTATTAAAAGATAAAACAGGTTTCAGGAAGTGTGATATCTCAAAGCAAAGGGGGTCAATTTTCTGAATCTTTTAGCCTAGAATGCTTTCTCGCACAAGATATCCCAAACCCAAAATACCCAAATGTCAAATCTCTTCGTGATTTTTTATTTATTCCAATTTTTTAAAAATAGCTTTTCCCTCTCGTATGAGAAGAAATACTAATTCACTGAAGAGAGACATAAAATAAAAGATAAAAGAACAAAATATCTATAACCTTATCAACCAAAAGTGACTATTTTTATCTAATGTTGCTTTAAGCATACATACCTAACTTTTAATCTAAACATATTATATACATACAAAATAATTTTTAAACATTTGTATAATATATATATAGCAAAATAAGCATTTCACCAGCTTATATCCAGCTTTAAAAATAGAAATCACTAATAATTTGAAAATTAAAATTGTTTGTGATTATAAACATCACCTTAAGTGCCTCTGTGGCTATTAAATGTTTACACATGCCATTAATTTCTGTTTAAAGATAAATTCCTTATATGGAATTGCTGTGTCAATGTATATGCATTTTTGCCTTTGTATGTGTATCTTTAACACTTTTGATAGACAAGGATGGTTCATCTTTCTGATAAGTAAGGAGAAGCAACGTCTTCTTGGTGAATTTCATCACATTCATGGGCTGGAGGAAAGGGTTTTGAGACTACAAGGACAAACGTTTTCCTATGAACTATTTTTTGGCATTTGTCCTGTGGAAAACATGATATTCCTCTACCACCAAAAGGAATAGGAGGGGACAAGCTTACAGCAAGCACAGTAGACGCCTGGTAGACAGAAAAGTCCACTCACCTTGAAGCCATCAAAAGCAAAAGCACGTTCATCTGAGCCCAGCTCCTGATCTGGTTGACAACCTGGCCTGCTCCATCCAACTCTCATGTCTCCAGCAGTGACGGCTTCAAATTCAAAATACCAGCGGCCCGCCTTCACCGCGTAGGTCTTTTCAGCACGGAAGATTCGGAACCGCTCCCCTGTGCCACTGCACACCTCGGCTCTGGCAGCTAGGCAATTGAAACAGGCGGTCATTGGCTGGGAAACTGAGAGGTGGTCATTGGCTGGGAAATTGAAAGTGAAGGGAAGATATCACATAACTTCCGAAATTCAACCTGCAGTGGTGATGATAATGATACCTTTTTATCTTGTTTCAGATTTTACCAAGTGTTGGTTAATCTACAATCAGCCACTGTCAGAGGGCACCAGCTTGCTGAAGTAGAAACCCCAAGGGTTTATGCTGGAGATGGGATTACAACTTGGTGAGACTGTCAGGGTTTCCCTCAACTGCCCTTCTGTTGAAGAAAACCCACAAGTGGCTTGGTGCTTTGGTTGTGGAAGCTGAGATGGAAAGAAGACAGTAATAAAAGATCTCAACTGCTCTGCATAAGAAATGAGACATCTATCAGTGAGGAGGCAGACAGAAAGAGAAGAACAAGAGAAGGCTGGACACAGCAGAGGAGAGTAACCAATGACAAATTTCCTCATTGACGTGATGGAAAACGTTTCCGTTCTCCCACATCTTCACTGTAATCTGCTGCACACACAAATGTTGTGTTTAAAAGATCTGGATGAAAAAAAAACCTAAAAGGGTCAGAGTCCAACAGTAGGACCAGTGTGGTACAAAAGGCAAAAAATATGTATCTGTAGGAAATGAGATGCAGGTGAGATTGAGGCAGGAGGACAAAACTTGAGGCTGAGGAACCCAGAGCCAGAATGTCTACGTGAAGGCCAAGTCCCTCAGAAAACACAGGTTACAAGGATAATGGGCCACCGAACTGATATCTCAAAAGAAACAGTTGCCTCGGTTGAGATCTGGGTTAGATGCAGAGGTGGAAACTTCAGTAACTTGGTCAACATCACAGAACTCAGTAAGGAGGACAGAATTGGGGACCCGTCCTTCCCACTCTGCCTCCAGTAGCTGGTACAGATGAGTGGATACTGGTTAAATGTTAGTTCTCATCTGTTCCCCTGCAGACTTGGAAAAGATCTTATAAGTAATAAAAGTTTAATAGCAGTTTAACCATTGGGTTGGCATGACCAAGTTAGAACTATGAAAATAACCTACATAGACTCTAAAGGTTGCCAGTAAACACACAGCCAGGTCATATGAAAAAAGTTTAAGAGTAGGCGTAAGTAAAGCAGTGAAAAGAACACAGCTGTAGCATTAGGCAGCTCTGGCTCTTGGGCTTAATTAACCAAAGGATCAATAACTGCTTTGTGATAATAGGTAGTGCTTAAAATACATCCAGCTGAACTGTATCTGTTGGTTAACCTTTCAAAAGCGAGTCTAAGTCTCTGAAAAAGAGGGATAAACATCTCTATGACAAAGAATAAAAAATTCTCATGTCTGTCGCTTAGTAACTGAATATATTTTGAAAGATAAAACAATAAACTGCTTTTTGAGGGAAAAACACTAATAGATTTAATGATGGTTAAAGGTAATTGCTATTATTAAGAAACTATTTCTCGATGCTGCAACATTAATAAAGAAATAGGAAAAGTCAAATTTTCATTCAGAGTTTGTATTTTCTCAAGAAAAAGACCTATTGCTTCCTTAAATCATGGTTGTAACCTTCCCTAAATGAATCCAAGAAATAATGAATATGAGCTATGAACTACACAAACACTTGGAGATTGTTCTCAGGAAAGAAAAAAAGTTCTCATGTAGTCATCCTTATTTTTAATTATGCCAACATTTGCAAATAAAATCTTACATTATATTTTAGTATGCACTAATAAATTAAATTCCTAATTTTCTGAATATAGGACATTCAGTTGTTTAGAAACTCAATTGTTGGGAAAAAAACAATCCCAGGTTCTCTGTCCCCTATTTTGTGTCCAATATATCAGAACTTCACAAATAAGTGTAGAAAGCTCAAGTAAAGCAAACTAATTGTAATATTAGCTTAACTCAAGTATTTGGGAAGGCAAATTTGGTATATAACAGATAATATCTCAAAAGCCCCCTAAAATTTCCTCTTGCTCTTAAGACGTAGGGCCAATCCCCTCCACTACTGTAGGAAATGTAAATGGAAGGGGGATACTATATATGGCAGTGACAACAATACAGAATCTCTTAGTCCTAGTATTCTTTTTCCTGACCCTAATGTAGCACCATGCTTACTCATTTATGATATTCAACCTGAACTCGAAATGAACATACTGTTCACAGACACTATCATGCAAGGGACTTCACAGTAATGCACTTTTATTCTCTCCTTTTTAAATTCTGTGGATCTTCCTCCAAATGTCTCTGTGGTTTATAAGCTCATGGTCTATAGTTCTTAAATTCATTTAGGGTATCTTGCAACCACAGTTTGAAGAAGTAACCGTTCAGTATTCTGTTTCTTGTTTCATTTGCTAATACAAAGTGAAAATCTGGATTTGAAGGAGTTTAAACAGGCAAGGTGTGACACTTTTCTTTTGCATACCCTGTAGCACCTGAGCACAAAGTAGGTGTTCCTTAACGCTCACCAAACTGTATGTAGGAAAAAAAGACTCTTCTGATCTCAGGATACAAGAGTCCAAGCAAATAGCTAACAGGTAGTCCCCTCCCAAAGGCATTCAGCATGCTCCCCCAAGCACAAAATCCTTATGCATTGCTTGATTTTAAACATGCTATATCAATATGTGTTTGGTAGGCAATTTTAACTCATGTGAGTGTTTTATAGAAATGATTTTTATACTGTTGTAAGCAATATAATAATTGACAAAAAACGAAGTTAGCAGGTATAGTCCTAACATACATAATCAGTCTGTTGGTATTCAAACCACCTCAAGATTAAGAACAAAGTCTGATAAAAGACTATGTTTCTAGTCCCCCACAGACATGGATAGCGAGGGAACTAATGACTGATCAAATAGGGCCTAAAGATAACCTAACCATACACCCTGCTGTCCACAATAAACATTTTAAAAAATATGTACCACTAGAGGGCAGTCAAGATCTAATCATGTATTAAAATCATAACCTATAAGCTATAAAGGCAGGCTCACCTCTAAAATTTTACACATATCTAGACTCCTTTAGATCTACTTACATCATACTTTAAACAACTATTGGTATTAAAACCATCCGTCTTTCAACCTCCTGGTGATATTTTATTTTTTGAGTCAGAGTCTCACTCTGTTGCCCAGGCTGGAGTGCAGTGGCATGCTGACTTCTGCCCCAGCCTTGACCTGCTGGGCTCAGGTGATCCATCTACCTTGGCCTTCTGTAGCTAGAACTATAGCATGTACCATGCCCAGTTAATTTTTTTTACTTACTGTAGAGATTAGGTCTTGGCAAATTGCCCAGGCTGGTCTCGAACCCCTACTCAGGCAATCCTCTTGCCTCAGCCTCCCAAAGTGCTTGGATTACAGGTGTGAGCCACTGTACCCAGCCTCTTGGGTTATTTTAGATAAAGCAATTCAACTATTGATAAAACCTTGCAATGAATAAGAATAAATACCATTTTCAAATGCTTTAAAATGTTGTCGAGAACAACAATCCAAAGATCTTACAACTCAAATACTGAGCTCACATTTAGTCAGAAATATGTAAGCATTCTGCTGACAAATAGGAAATAAATTATAATCTTGATTAATTATATAGGGTTAGATTCTAGTTTATCATTTTGAATTACCTTTTTAACAGCAGCAGTGTAGCCAAGTATAAATTAATGTTTTTAACCTGATCTTAGTGATTACCAGACTTATTTTGCTTTATACTATAAAATGTCTCAGATCTATATTTCAATTTTCATTCCTACCATCCTTGTTCAGTAAAACAGAATTTTTCCAAAGCCTACCAACTGGGTGCTCTATCTCCAAGCCCTCCCCCATCCAATCTGTCCCTTTCCACTGTTGCCATAGTTATATTGCTATTGTAAACTGTGATCACACATAAGATCTTGCTTAAAACTTCCTGGGGGTACTCCCTGTACAAATTTATCTACATTTTCTTTGCTAGGTTTCAAGATATTCCATATTTTGTCCAAATTCTTCTACCTTCATTCACTACTGGTGTAGGCACTAGTCTCTTCTTGTTGAAATCTGATCCCTTCCAACTTTAACTCAGAAAACATTTGCTCCCTTTACTGATCCCTCCCATTGGAAGATGAAACTTTCTTATGTATTTTCCACAAAGATCAACTGCATGCTCACTATGAAGTAGGCATGCTTTTGGATTCTAGGACATCTGGTTAACAAGAAACATGATCTCAGCTTCTACTGTGGAATATACAACTCTAATCTCACTGTTCATTTCTCATGTGACCTCAATAGTTATTTAACTATCAACGGTTCTATCTCTAAGTTCTTAAAACTCAGAAACTATTCCATTGTGGGATCACCATTTTTTCCTCCCTGTTAGCTCATTTCCTTAGACAAGTCCAATAACTCTTCAAACTCATTAAATTCCTTCTTTCTTCCATTCCTCATCCATATGGCTTTCCACACTTTCTTATCTTATTATTCTTTCCATATTTGCTCTGTTAACCCCAATCTTTGTCCAATTTCAGGATCTTCATTCTCAACATCTATGCCTACTCTGCTGAGCATGCTGAAAAAATACACATGTACCAGATGATCATTATTTAACTCATAATCTTCAACCTCAATGGAACCTTACATGTTTCTCTGCAATCTTTGCAGTCTGCTCTGTGTTCCATCCCACAAAACAGTTATTTCTAATGTTTGTTGCTGAGTGACATCAGGAGAAATGGCAGAGAAAGAACTTCTAAAAAATCCTTTTCTCCATAAAATTAATGAGAACACTGGCAAGAAAATGTCCAGATAAAAATTTTCACAACTCTGGAAATTAACTAAAAGCTGGCGACAATTCAGAAAGTGTTTATTCAGTTAAAATGTCCAAATGTTGGTAAGAGCAGCCAACCAAGTGGTGTTTTAACAGCTTTCCATACTTTCTTGTCCTAGTGTCCTTTTCCAAATTTGCCTCATTTGGTTCACCCCCCCTCCCCCTAGTTCCACGGTATATTGAAAACCAACAGCCCTTCAGCCACAGTGA